GCAGCCCTCCCCTCACGGCACCGCCCGCCCTCAAACAGGAAAAGGCCAAGAAGTCAACCCTAGCTTCCCGCTCAAGCGGGCTTTTATTGTCGCGCTTCAAACACAGCAGTTCTGAGCATACCAAAACAAAACACAACCGTTTCAGAAACCAAAGCGTTGCAGTCTTCTCAGAAACAGCAAAGCAGCCTCTTCGTTCCCGCCGACCGGGCTCGAACGGTGAACGGCACGGTCCTGCCTCACACAAAGGGAAGCACAAGCCGGCATCTTGCGCCCTGGTTTAATATCATGCAACTCAAAAGACCTCAGTGAACATCACAAGCGGAGTCCATGTTAACACCAAGGGCGTTAGATTACTTCCAGCTCCCCGCATGAGGGGAAGGTGAGGAGGAGACCAAGTCTATGCCATTCACTTTTAGTAGCAGTTTGTCAACATCCTCATTTACAGGAAGTTTATAGACATATATATGTACACAGGAGCATTTTTTAAGTTCATCATAAACATTAATCTGTAGCTTCTATTTTACTTATAATGTTATTACTTTTTAAAGTGTTCAATACATTATCATAAGCCTTGATATCTAGACACCTTAATTCATTCAGTAACTTAATAATACATTCTTTCTCTCCCAGTGTGTTTTTCCAGATGAGAAGCATCTGATAAGATTGCTCTTCTGTATCATTAGGATAGCCACAAATAGTTTTATCAATATCATTTTCCTTCAGATGAGTTCTCATAAGCCGCTTCCATTTTTTTGGTGGTACTTCATTTATGAAAGCCGCAAAGCTATCTCTCAGTTCTGAAAGAAAAAAGCCACACATTACCTTAGGTTTTCAAATACAGATATTTTTCCTAGCTAACGTACATGCTTGCCCATTAATTTTCAGCCAACACATGTACAGACTGAACAGCGGCAGAAAGGTCAGGTTTGGCACCTAAGAAGCAGCAGGACAAACGGGTTTCTAACTGAGCAATCTTGAAAGAAGCTAAAGATACGAGTCTACATATCTCAAAAATAGTCTCAAAACGAGACATTCTTCAGTAAAGGTGGGTTTGAGGAAGGTTTCATTGGCCTGCACGTCTTCACTTAAGCTTAATGGGGCTACTCAACAGTAGGCTTTAATCACTTCACCATGCTACTAGTATAGGTTTGCCACACTAAGGCCAGCATGAGCAAAACCCATCGCTTGGACATCCAGCACATCAGCTTGCTGGGTACAGGTAAACGTATGGAGATTTGATGCGATCTTTCATGCGAGTAGACATTTGACAGAAAGGGCTCCTGCTCTGACCTACACCTCACTTACTAAGGCAGAGTACACTGCTGCAATGCAGGCTTGTTTAAAATATACAAAAAAGTTTTGTACCATTCTTATTCTTAAAAGCATGACTGCACTGTACTCCTGTGCAGAAACGCCATGATTTAAAGTAAAACAATTCACCACAGGGATTACAACTTCTCTCAAATGTAGCAATAATCTTGTTTCAGCATATTTTACAATAAACTGAAAGCCTTATCCCTCTAAGCAATACTCATTAGCCTCCCTACACTTATCGCTTAAGTAGACTAAAATCAACAGGAGAAAAACAAATTCCAAGTACTGCCAATTTACAGAATACTTACCTTTTTGAGAGAGATCTTTAACCTTTATTTGATACTTCGGGTTTCGTACCTGTAATACAAAGTTGGACCGTTACTCCAACATATCAGAGCGCTTCACTCATCATTATTCCTGAACTATTTGATAGCTTACTGCCCCAACACACATGACAATAAGGGGTGGGAGGTTTCACAGCACAGCTGAAAGCATGAGTAAAGAAAACTGCATGCTGAAACAGCCATGCTACTAGCTCCCAAGTGAAGCAACAAGGTAACACGTTTGCTGATATTGCGAAAGAATAGCTTCTGTGTACATGTTGAACAGAGAGATGAGAGGCAGAGCAGATTAAATGAGGGACTGAAGTTTGCTTTCCCAAAATAGCATTTCCCATACTTTCCATTACATCTTTAAGGCAAAGTTGCCTTAAAGCTTTGGCAGTCTGTAGCTTGTGACATGACTACCAAAGCTGCCTATTGTTCTGCCTGAAAACAGCATCTATCACTCAAGAAATAGCTAAGAACTCAATGAAATCACAGACGTATCAGAGAAAACACAAAGATAATTTCACACACACACGCTTACCGTATGATCTGCTGGCATCCTACCACTTGATACATTAGACAGGGCATTCTGATGAAAAGCAGGATTCTGCCCAGTTTTTGAAGAGCCAATGACCTTCTTCCAGCACTTTTTCACACGGCACTTCCAGCCCGTGGTTTGCGCTTGGCCCTCTGGGCTCTCACTAGAGTTCTCACCCTCTGGGTTGCCTCCCTTATTTGCAGGTGTCTCTACTTCTGCTAAAATGAGGCTTGTAGTACTGCACTCAGGTTCCTGTAAAGAACAACATATTTTAAGAGATGTTTCATAGGTAGGCCTTAAAGGACAGTCTGGAGGAAGAAAACACAATACTTGAAGTCACCAGATGTCAGAGAAATAATAGGAGAGCTGCTAATTTGGCAAAATTACAAACATGCAAAAGTTACAGCCTTTATAGACTTCCATTTCAAATGGTTTCAGAGCCTAAACTCTCTGCTTCGCTGGCTGTTCTGCTCCCACGGGAATTCAGGGTAAGGCTCACGGGCTATCTCCACAACAACTGCAGGAAGCTTTTCCTAATGTTTTCACTAGCACATATTGCTGCTTGCTCCTCTCTAGGTGTGGAAAGTATACACCCCTCCTGAGGCAGGAGGAGATGAAAGTGCCTTGCTGCACCTGAGCTGACTTAACAGCCACAGGGGCCTCAAGCCTGTTGTTGTATCAAGGCTGATGCTCTCAGAGCTTTTGTCAAGCAGATGATAGCCTACCAGCTCCATGTAAGTGCACTAGCTTGGGCTTTTTTTTTTGGCTGGATTAGTTTTTCTGGCAGATTCACAAACCAGGATCAGTTGAAAGCAGCCAGTGAGCACTAGTGCACATTGCATAGCTTTTGTGAGGGGACAAAGAAGGAAGCAAGGGAGGAGGGCTGCATTGTTTTTAGCATTGCCAATACATTAAAGTAGTACAGCTCCAACTCATCAAGAACAGTACACATACAAAGCAGACCAACATCTGCCTAGCATATCAACTAGTGCTGAAACTGGAACACTTTAGGAATTATTTTTTTTTTTAATAAAAGACAGAAAATGAGGGCAAGGAGTGATTTTTTCCAATGAGACTTGTGTTTGTTAAGGTACAGTTCCCCCATGAGCATAAACCAGTGGGATTTCTGTTTGCACAAGGTCAGCAACCCA